CCATCCCAAGGGGTATGTGGGGGCCAGGATGTAATTGGGGGTGGAGGGAGGAGAGAGATACTAGGCAGGTGGTTAAATGCCCTTGCCAGCAGGTTCATCCTGCTGATGTTCATGCGGGTAGCCAGAAGCCACCTAGCAGCTGCTTTTATATCCTTTCTTCCTTGAGGAGCATCTAGGAATGAGTGCCTGAGGCTGACTTCCAGGAGGTTGGTGGTGCTGTCAGGATCATGCCAGTGGCATCCGTCCTTTGGTGCCTGGCCTGTTCTCCAGAGATTGGACCAGCAGGAGGACTATTGAGGGAGGGAGTGGCTGGTAGGCCACTGGGACAGGTCAGTCAGCTGAGCTGCAGTCTCGCTGTTGGAGCACGCTGACCACCAGGGAGAAGCTTCTGCATTGAGTGTCTTCCCCCTGGTGGTCAGTGCACATCATAGCGACTGGTTGACCAGTTTTTTGGCCATTCAGTTGTTTGGTCATTTAGGCTTTTGTATATATTTTTGGAAGTAATGGTGATCAGAACACTACCATCTTTAACTTAACTTTCCAAAAAAGTCCATTTCTTAGGATATTATTAGCAATATCAAAAGCTGTCTTTAAATATAACAAATTAGTATTTTAATTATAAAACTAAGACATATTTTTGGCAAAATATATAAAATAGGAAATTAAAAATAAAATAAAAAACTCAAGTACCCCATTTCCTAAATTTACTATGTATTTTAAAACACACAATGAACACACACACACACACACACACACACACAAAACACACACACTTCACACCTCCCAAAAAGTTGCATCAATTTAATGTCATCGAGCTGTTTATTTTGTTTTGTTTTTAGCTTTTTAAATCTTTGCATGAGGATATGTTTACTGATTTTTTTAGAAAGACAAAGGGAGACAGACATGAAAAACCTCAATTGGTTGCTTCTCATACCTGCCCCAAACAAAGACTGAACCCACAACCCAGGTATGTGCCCTAACTCTGCCCTAGAATCCAGACAAACTCATTTTTGTGCAAGAGAAAGATACTCCAACCAAGTGAGCCACACTGGCCAGGGGAACAGCTGGTTTTGATGTCAACATCACAATATTACATTTTCTTTTTCTTTTTAATTAATTTATTTATTTTATTAGTTATGGTCTCACATAATTGTCCTTATCCCCCCATTCCCATCCCAAACCTCTATATATGCCCCCACCCCCTTGTTGTCCATGGTCACTGGCTAGGCTTATATGCATGCACACAAGTCCTTTGGTTGATCTCTTCCCCTCACCCCTACCCTCCCTTACTTTCCTTCTGAGGTTTGAGAGTCTGATCACTGCTTCTCGTTCTCTGGATCTGTTTTTGTTCATCAGTTTATGTTGTTCATTATTTCCTCTTTCTAACCCTTTTAGAAATATTTTAGAATTATTTGTTTGGAAAGCATAAATACATTTCTGAAGTTTGCATGTCATGACCATAGCTTTCATGTTAATTGCCTACTCACATAATTAGCCTATTTCTATTTAATGTTTCCAATTTACCGCTTTTTTGAAATAATTATTTAATTTATTGGGGTGACATTGGTTAATAAAAGTATGTAAGTTTTAACTCTACAATTGTAGCATAAATCAATTATAGATCTGTATATTTACTTCTTGTTTTATAAAAAAGGCTTTTTAAGTATCATAGAAATCAATCTTTTGTTATATTTATAAAAATATTTTTTGTCAATGCTCAGTCTTTGTTTGCTTGCTTTGTTTATTTGTGTATTTGACATTTATATTTAGATAAATATAACTTCTGAGTCTTGTGGCTCTCCTCATGGACCTTTGATTTTATTCCCACCTCAAAGTAAAAATTGAACACCTCCTTTTTCATCTTCAAAGATATTTAAGATTTAGTAGTGCATGACCCAAAGCCGGTTATTTTTAAAGTATCCCTGTCTCTGTTTATTTATTGGAGTCCTGGAAAGAGAATCAAACACTTGGTGAGTTCTGTGGCCATGTGTGTTATACTTGTGTTATTAGTTCAGCTAAAGTCATTCTAGTGTAAAGAATAGGCAGAGTCCAAGTTTACTTATTCATATCTATTTCCAAAGGATACCTAGCTATCGAAACATTGCTACTTTTGAATAATAAAATGTTTTGCATTAATTGGAACAGCCATTTTTATTATATTAGACTTATAGTAGAGGCCCAGCACACAAAATTCGTGCATAGGAGTGGGAGCCTCAGCCTGGCCTTCACCCTCTCGCAATCCGAGACTACTGGCTCCTAACTGCTCTCCTGCCTCATTGCCCCTAACTACTCATCTGCCTGCCTGTTCACTCATAGCTACCTCTGCCACATCCCCGCTGCTGTAGCTTAGTTTGGAAGGATGTCCAGAAGGTTGTTTGGCTGTCCTTTCTAATTAGCATGTCATACTTTCATTATGATAGATGTGTTAGGGTTATTTCTGGCTTTCTTTTCAGATACATTAACATAGTAATTATTCTTCATCATAAAGAAAAATTTTAAATCTGTATATGCATACAACACTTTTTTTTAATATTTAGTAGACCATTTTCTCAGTACTACTATGTATTTAGAGATTGGGTTTTAAAAAAATTTTTTCTAATATTTTACAATTGGGTTTCTTGAGAAATGCAAAATAATTTTATAAATGCCTTGTACAAAGTATCATTATTTTATTCATTGTAATTATATAAGAAAATCATTTTCACATATAAAATAACAAGTTATCTTATTAAAATTTAGTATGATTCTTCCCATTAATTCAAATTGACTTATTTTAATAGTTTTAATTTTTTCTTTATGTAGAACTGTCCGCTATTCTGCTGCTTTTACTAATAAAAGTAAATAATTTACTTTTAGTGACCTATTTGAAATAAGTTATGTTATTTATATAATCTAGGTTATTTTAATTTTATAAAACCTCATATTGATTGATTATCTGATTTGCCAACTTCCCTAAATATTTGATTTTTCTAAGGTTTTAAAGGTAATAATTTTAGTTATTAAAGTGAACTATTATAAATTATACAAATAATTAAAATTATGACTTTGAATCAGAAGTAGGCATTCATATATATATACACATATATGTATTTTTTTAGTTAAATTAATTTAAACCAAACATAATGCTGGATTTTGACATTTTTATTACTACTTCAAACTCCAGCATTAAGTTTTATGATATATTTACATTTATATCTGTACACATAGCTATATAGTCTATTATTATTTTATAAATGGATTCTATTCACAGCAGGCAGAAATGTAGATATTGATTACACAAAAATTATTGTTATGACTAAGAATTTTACAATGCCATCTTTAAAAAATTATCTAAAAAGTAAAAACTTTTATTTCTGCTTAACAAATATTTTCTCTGCAATGATACTTTTCATATAACTGGATAAATGTTATCCTAAAGCTATTTTTGTAAAGTATGTAGGAACATAAAATTCAATGTAAACTTAATCTATAAAAAATATATAGCCGGGCTAGGTTGTCTCAATGATTGAATATTGACCCATGAACTAAGAGGTTCATGAACAATTAGATTCCTGGCTAGAAAACATGCCCGGGTTGTGAGCTCAATCCCCAGTAGGGGGTGTGCAGGAGGCAGCAGATCAATAATTCTCATCATTAATGTTTCTTTCTCTTCCTTTCCCTTCCTCTCTCTGAAATCAATAAAAGAAGACCAAATACTGAAAAAAATATCATTGTTTGTTAGCTTATATTTTATTATATAAACACTTGTAAATTTATTCAAGAACAATATTTTTAATGTGAGATGTTTAACTGAAACTGTTAAAACATATTTCACAGTAATATAGCTCATTTCGTTTTTTCAATATTGATTTTATTCATAAGATCTATTATGTTTCTCAAATTTATAATAATAAAAGTGTAATATGCTAATGAGACCAGATATCTTTCCTGAGGAAGCCGGGGCTAAGGGGGAAGCCTGGGTCCTGGGTGCCAGAGGGAAGCCAAAGCCTGCAGCCGGGGAAGGAAGGCCTCCTCTTGCACAGATTTCATGCATCGCGGCTCTATACACAAAAAGCTTTTAGGAAAGATTGTAATATGATTGATAAAGATAGATCATCATATGTCTCTAATTTTTTTTGAAGTATTCTCCAAATACATTTTTTTTTTATATTAAATTTAAAAAAGAAAAAGAAAGCATCACACTGCCCTGGTTGGTTTGGCTCAGTGGTCAGAGCATCAGCCTGCATTCAATAATTCTCAGTCAAGGGCATTGCAGGTTTTCTCTCCGCCCTTACCCCCCAACACCCCAATCTGGGCAAGTGCAGGAAACACCAATCGATGTGTCTATCTCAGTCAATCTCTCTCTTTCTCTCTTTCTCTCTTTCTCTTCTCTCTCTCTCTTCCTTCTTCCTCTCTCCTTTTCACTCTCTGAAAATCAATGGAAAAAATATCCTCAGGTGAGGATTAAAACAAAACAAGAATAACTGATATTTGTTTGCATATCTTAAAATTGACTTTCAAAAGTTTTTGTTTTTAATGCATAAGACAAATTTAAAGAGAAGCATTGTTAGTAATTTATTAAAATAACTCTTCTTTATTCTCAGAATTACATATATAACATGTATAGCTTAGGCATTAAAAAGTTTAATTTTTTCAGGCTACGATTATGCTATACTTTTTAAAAGGCAAACAGTGATAGAGGGAAATTACAAAATCTTCTGGTAGAACTGTATTATGCCCCAAATGATTCTACTTAACTGATATTTTAACATGGCACCAGTATGTAATTCAAAAAAGCTGAACATTTGTGTCTATTTGATAATTAGTATCCACCAGGTAGAGAAAATATAGTAATAATTAAATTACTACTCCCTTTATTTTTCTGACATGTTTTCTTTAAGAAAAATGAACATGACAAGAACATTTTCACATCCTAAATTTACACTACTAATGATTTGTACAACTTGATCAGGTTGTATATTATAGTAGTAAATGGTGACTATATGATTTTGTTTTATCAGGAGCTACAACCATAGAGAAATATAACCTCAGAACAAATTTGTGGATCCAGGCAGGGATGATGAATGGCCGAAGACTGCAATTTGGGGTGGCTGTTATTGATGAGAAACTCTTTGTAATTGGTGGTCGAGATGGCTTAAAGACATTGAACACTGTTGAATGTTACAACCCTAAAACAAAGACTTGGACTGTCTTACCACCGATGTCAACACATAGACATGGTCTAGGTAAGATTTCTTACTTTATTGATATTACTTTTAGAAATATTTTTATTAATAGTGAAAATATATATAAAAGCATGGTATTTTTGTTATTAATTATTATTAATTTTAGGTATGCCAGGGCTTATGTAAAGCATTGTTTTAAAGTTCTTGACATTTTCCTGTGTTGACCAATGTGCATTTAATGGTTGAGAAAAGTTAACAATACCAAAATGAATAAACCTCAAACTATCCACAAAGCGTTCACAATCTGACATTCATTTAATATGTGAAATTTGATATAACAAATGTAGTGCCATCATGGAGAGGCCAGAGCAATATAGCTCAGAAAAAGAAATAGTTAATGTGGATTAAGAAGACTCACTCCACATTACTGGATAAACAGGTCTAGTTATATCTTTGCATTAAATTGTTCCATCTTGGAAAATCAATGGGGAGAAGACCATATAGTTTTAGAGAAAAAGTGACTCCTTAGCTATTATCAGAGGTCAATATGATAGGATTCACTTGATCTTTACTGTGGAGTAACCTGAAGATAAGAGAACTACACTTATATCATAAGATCTGATTGTGAGTCTTGTCTTGAATCTACTATTTAATATTGACATGATTTGGGGTCAGAACTTAAATTATGAGCCTTAGTTTCCTGATTCATTACCAATTCAAGGTCATTAAGTAGATTAAAAAAATCTAACAATGATAATTGTCAAGTCCCATACTAGTATTTTAAAAAAAGAGGAATTTAATAAAGACTATCAGTTATTAAATTTGCACTTTGTATCATGGGGATTATATGAAAAGAAATTACTTTTTTTGAAGTTCTAGAATATGACAGAATTAACTAAGTATCTTTCATATACTTTGAATATACGTGTTAGAGAGAATCAGGGTGTAATTGCAAATCCATTGATTTAGACATTAATAGGCAAGCAAAATTAGAGAGCATTTCAAAAACAAATATTGCTGAATAGAGGCCCAGTGCATGAAATCGTACACAGCAGGGGGAAGGGGGCCTTCAGCCCGATCTGCACTCTCTCACAATCCAGGACACCTAAGGGATGTCTGGCCTAAACTGGCAGTTGGACATCCCTCTTAGAAATCCAGGACAATTCATGTACCAGTGACCATACTTTTTTTTTTTAATCAATCTTTATTGTTCATATTATTACAAAGGTTCCTCATTTCTTCCCCCCTCCACCAAGTTCCCACTCCACCCTCCGCCCCCTCCCCACTAGTGACCATACTTTTCATACAGGTGAAAGGCATCTTACTGTTGTATGGGCAGCTACATTTTTTTGCCCTAATTATAAAAAGTAGTATATAATATGATCCTTCTGAGGCAGTAGTACCATTCCCCATCTCAATGGGTGGAAAAACTTAAGCAAAGAGAAGTTAAAAAATTGACTTTGTCACACAGTTATAAGTATGAGAATCAGGGCTGATGACAACATGTGCAAGCCAAAGTTCATGCATGTCATCGCTGCATCATCTGTTTTTTCAGTGATAGAGTAGCCTTGCCAGTTTTTAATTTTAAACCAAAGAGACGGTTCCCAATATATAGGGTAGGGTCTCTAGGCTTGGCTGGTAATCAGGGCTGAACTGTGGGATGAAGAGCAAGTGGGCAGGACAATTGTGGGGACGCGAGGCCACTGGAACCCCCCTTGGCTGGTGGCCTGGTGCCACCCACTCACTGGCCCCAACCGGGGGCAGATCATGCATTGAGTGTCTGCCACCTTGTGGTCAGTGAGTGTCATAGTGACCAGTCATTCTGCTGTTCAGTTGATTTGCATATTGGGGTTTTATTATATAGGATAATTTAACTTTAAGTTCTCCAAAACTGCATTCCTCATTCTTGTCTACTATCGATCCAAGTGAAAATAAAAAATAAATTATTAAAACAGATTAACTAAATCAACTTATCTTTATTATCATCTTTTTTTTTTACCTCCTTTTCATCAGTTTGCTCATTAGTAAATTATAAAATAACTAGAGGCCCAGTACATGAAATTCATAGGGGGGTCCCTCAGCTGGGCCTGCACCCTCTCCAATCTGGGACCCTCTCACAATCCAGGAACGCTGGCTCCTAACCATTCACCTGCCTGCTGGCCTGATCCCCCTAATGGCTCTCCCCTGCTGGCCTAATCACCCCCAACTTCTCTCCCCTGACAGCCTGAAAGCCCCTAACCGCCTACGCTTTGCTACCATGCCTTTGTCCAGAAGAATGTCTGGAAGATTTTCTGAAAGATGTCTGGTCTAATTAGCACATTACCCTTTTATTACTATAGATAATAAATGTCTGAGAAAGTTTAAGTTCTAAAATTCTGTTTTACATAAAAGCTATATAAATTATTTAAATCATATAGAACCAAATTAGAATATGAAAAACATGAATACCAAATTATTTTCCCCAGATAATATTAATGCATATACAAGGTTTTCTTCTATGGTTTTCCTCCCAAATAAATTAGAGCACTTTGGCTTTCATATCCATATAAAAGCTCTATGTGTTGTTTTTATTAGTTAACTAACATTCTATGCTCCTGTTTGGGGGAATATAGAGAATATGCAGTGTGGATTGGACTATTTAAAATTTAATGACTCTCCTTTTTTTTTTGATTTAGAAAATTTAATTCATTTCTATTAAGATTCAATTATGTAAGCTATTTACATGTCAAGAGAATATACATGAAAATGTTTCACCAAGAATACACCTTAAGCGGTATAATTTCATGTGCTTCAAGTATACTAAATCCTATTTGCCTCAAATTCTATTACACCAGCATGAGAGCTGAGCAGGAAGGTAATCTCACATAATGTCTTTTGCTTTGTCTTATTTGTTAACGAGTTCGTTGTAGAGGATGATGTGGAAATAAGTCTCCATGAAAAGTTACATGTGCCAAGTATCACAACATCAAAATGTAATTTAGCTTTTCCACAAGTTATAGTAGTTCTCGATAGTTGACTATTTTCATGACGAAGCCTCTCCTCCTGTTTTGTACTCTGTTGTTTTCTTTCACTTCTATCATCAGGTGGGTCACCTCTCCTGTATATAGCGTGCTGTCGGGTTCTTATGTGTTTTTACTTCCTAGGAGTTTTTGGTTTTGTTCAGTGTTTTAAAAAATCCTCTACTACAGAACTCCCCAAGAGCTGATCTGATTGAATTAGTAGGTAATATCATAGCTTAAGGCATCAAATTCTCATTTCAGAGCATCTCATACAGAGCAAGCAATGTCCTGTAGATATAAAGCTGCCTTTGACATGGATGCCAATCCAGGTCCAATCAATTGAAGCTAGATTGATAGTGCTACCCTGAGTGGCAAGCTGGACCCATGTTCTTCTCTCATAGAATTTGAAGAATAAAATTCTTGGAGAATGGATTTTAAGCAAAAATGTGGAAATTTATTGCAAGTGTATGCAGACTACCACATGGGGAGGGGTTCCCAAATGGATAACCAGTGAAGTCTTTTTGTCTGTGGGTTTATAGATGCTGGCAGCTTCTTTGTCTATATGTGCTACTTTCTAACTGAAGCCTTCCTCATTTTATGTCACCTGTGTTTTTTTTTCAACTTCCCCCTTTTCCCTGCATGGATCGGGTCCAGGGAGGGAAAAGAGGGATGTTATCAAAGTTTCAAAACTCACCCGGTGCTTCACCCTATCTTCTCTCCCAATAAAAGGCTAATGTGCAAATTGTCCCCTCAGGAGTTTGACCAACCAGGAGTTTAACCACTCACTATGACATGTGCTGACCACCAGGGGGTGGCACAAAACAAAGGAAGGCACTGGCCAGCAGGTGGCAGCCAAGAAAGGAAGGCCCCTATTGGCCTTGATCACTGGCCAGGCATAGGGACCCTATCCATGCACAAATTTTGTGCAGTGGGCCTTTAGTCTTGTTACACACTTCTGTCCTCTATGTATGTAAAATAAACTATCTGGCTCTGACCGGTTTGGCTCAGTGGATAGAGCGTCAGCCTACAGACTGAAGGGTCCCAAGTTTGATTCTGGTCAAAGGCATGTACCTTGGTTGCTGGCACATCCCCAATTGGGTGTGTGTGGGTGTGAGTGTGTGCACACACATGCAGGAGGCAGCTAATCGATGTTTCTAACTCTCTATCCCTCTCTCTTCCTCTCTGTAAAAAATCAATAAAATATATATTTAAAAAATAAAAATAAAAGAATAAAATAAACTATCTGGCTGCTTGGAACTATCTCTGACCCATCACGTATGCATTCCTTTCCCAGGGACCCTTCCCTACCTGCCTTTCCTTATCTCTAAATCCTTTCAGTAGTAACACAAGACACATCTATGTTCTCTGATGAACCAGAGTGCTTCCTTTAGGACCAATCACATTCTTTATGATCAGTTGCATCTCAGGAAGTTCAGCATTATGTATCATACTGAAATGCAATTAACATCTTCAGCCTATGATTCTTGCTCCTTCAATATAGCATATCAGTCTTTGATTTATCTTCTCTCTTCTAGGGACTTCTATTTGCATAGGTGTAATATTCCTTATTTAATATATCATGTCTTATAAACTTAATTTTTTATTTATTTGATACATAACTGTAATATCCAGCCCTTCAAAGTGATCTTAATCTGTATGGGCCATGATATTAATTGTATATATTGATCTCAATTTTTTAAAAAAATTTTAAATTTATCTTTATTGTTCAAAGTATTACATATGTCTCCTTATTTTCCCTCTTGACCCCTTCTAGCCTGCCCTCTCCTCACGTCAAGCCTTCACCACACTAATGTCTGTGTCATGGGTTATGCATATATGTATGCATATAAGTTCTTGGATTAATCTCTTCCCACCCAGTTATCCACCCTTGCCTTCCCTCTGAGATTTATTTTGCTCTTCCACAGTCTGTTCCATGTCTCTGAATCTATTTTGTTCATCAGTTTATGATACTGGAATTTTGGACTGGAATGCCTAGTATTCCCTGGGCAGAATGGCTTTTCATGGGATCTTTGTCCATTGGATCAAAGAATGAAACCACGG